GACTGGAGAGGAGAATACTGTGAGAGGTAACTTCAGCCAAGCATCTCTCAGGTCATATTGCTGTGACCTTTAAAGCTGTCCTTTGAAAATATTAATTCTACCAATTACTCTCAAACCCAAAGCCTTGAGGAATATAGTTTCGCTTTCTAAAGGTTTTCGCAGCCACTGCAGCGCTTCAATCGCTGCCAACGCAGACTGACAAGCTGAAGAGACAATTATCAGAGAATTGGAAAAAAAAAAAAACTGTAATCGCATATTAACCAGACACTTCGGGTGCAGAATGTCACAGTCATAAAACCTCAAGACTATAGAGAGCAGATTTATTTACAGAAGTAATTATCCCAAGTGCCTCAGCACACAGGCATAGCTGGACACTGACCTCAGAGCAGGAAACTAAGGCCAAAGGAGTACAAACAAGCCAGAGAAAACCACAAACCCACGGGAATTTCTGAGCTTAGATTCTGTCCAGATGAGCACAGTTATTGCTTCACTATTTAGAGTTCCTCCTGACAGTTGTTTTTTTTTCTAGGGAACTCAGAGCAGCACCCCGGGGTGTCGAGCACAAAAGGATTGAATATATCACAAGTAATTTCACAAAAACCGTGGTGGGTCCATGTTAGGATTATTTACTGTGCAGCATAGTTACAGTCATGTGATGTGATCTGTGACACAGTAGACGCAACCACATTTTCATCAGCCTAATAAAAACACGCCTAATGACAGTGAGTCGGTTAGCTCGCATTGTATCTGGCTCATTTAATACATAATTGTGGTGGCAGTGACCATTAAACTTCACATTCAGTATTTAAAGTTCACACTTAGCTGTTCGAATTCACATATATTTACTTCAACTCATGCTTGAGCTGCTTTTGCATGAGACCTGGTCAGTGTAAATAATAACCGATCTGCTGAATGAACAAATAAACAACGCTGTGATTCTATTTTATCGAAATCAGATAAAAATGTTGAAGAAAGAAGCAGGTGTGGGAGGATCCCTCAGGCGGAGAACCTTCATGGGGCATACAGACAGAAATCGATCTCCCCTCCAAATGAGGAGTAGTGTGTCTTAGCCCATGTGTGTGTGTCTGCATGAAGGTGTGATGACCTGTGAACTCCAGGCCCACAGGCACTTGTCGGAGCTCCCAGTAGCTTCGTTCTCCCCGGGTTAGCAACCACAGCGCCGCAGGAAACCAGTGAGTAAACAAGAGAGAGGCGATCGTGAATCACAGCTTTCAGCAGACAATCTGAGAACATATATTATGGAGAAAAAACCAAGCCTATGCTAACACCATTACATATGCATTCATGCACATTCAGGCAGAACCAAACAATTCCGCCAACATCTGCAGGGGTTTGAGAAAGAGAGCGCAGAGAGATACAGTCTTAGTTATTCTGCTTCAACAGCTCCTGGTGGGCTCGAGTTCTCGTGAGCAAACACTTGTGTCAAACAACGTTCATTTGGCGTGACCTAATTTTTTTTACACGCTCTGACTTTGTGGGCGCTTTGAATGATGATGGATGCGTCGTTTAGGATTTGAGGTGTTCATCTGACTCAGTAGCTCAGTAGACTATGAATTATACTACAAAGTCCAGAGCTTCAACCCAGGTTTGATCCCAAGGATGGGAGGGGGGGTAGAAAATATAATTTGCTTAAAAACCTTGAATACATTCAAAGCTAAAACAAAAAAAATCAAGGTGTGCCAGAACACATCCACACATGAATTAGCAACCAGCACTCACTGCTTCACTCACTCATGCTCCCTGTGCCGTCTGGCGCTTCAGGCGATGGCAAGGGATCTCCACCTGACTCTTAGCAACCAGCACATGTTTCTTCAAAAACACCGCAGCTTCAGCATATTCTCTGTCAGTATGAGTGAAGAAGATCCTACACGTCTGTGTGCTCCAAACAAACAAACAAAAGAACACTTGCCAACCGAATGGGTGTCCACTGAAGCCTATTAACCGCATTATTTCTACGGACGGAACAAAAGGGGATTCGACGATTTCCTACAGCAAACAAAGGAATTGTCGTTGGCGACATGTTCTACCGGCCCTATCATCCATGGCGAAGAAGTCCTCATTAGCAACAGGACTCGGCTCATCACTGTCACCATCACAAACGCTGCGGGGAGTCTTGTTAGCTTAGGGGACAACACAGCGGGGCCGGCTTCCCCCCAATCAAGCCGTCGCTGCTTAAGGTCCAGCATTCTGTAACAAGTGCTGTGCGGTATTTTGAGTCACAACAGTCAACCTCTTGCAGCCACGAGTGTCAGTCGCCAAAACAGCATGAGTAGGTACACGTGACCTCTGACCTGTGTGCGGCGAACTCCAGCCGACCAGCCAGATGTCTCAGTTAAACTGTTCCCAATGGGGTTGCTGCTGCTGCTGCTGCACACACCGGCGACTGAATTAGGCCGTGTTGTGCTGGTCTCTGAGCCCTTCTTGCACTTATTTCTCCGCTGATAACATATGGATGACAAGGTAAAATACACCTCAGAGGATCTTGGTTACTTATTGCAAAAGCAATTAGCTTAGTTATTAGCTTAGCTAGTGCAGTTATTATAATGATCCTGCAGTCTGTTTGAAAGCACAGTAGTGAAGCAGCCATCATAACAAGGAATTACAGGATAGATCATTGTTATATCTTTTGTTTTTAATGTCTTTTTTCGTTCCCACACAGTGTTTGGAGACCATCAAACAAAGCAGGTGAGGAAACACACAAGGGATCACTCTGGGGATGCATAATTAAGATCTGCGGGATGAAAGGGAAAGCGCCATCTCGACACAAGCATATGCTTTTAATGGCCACCATTTAGATTATTGCATATCTTCCAATTACCACTGGCAGATTTATTATTTAGAGATTAAACTTTCAACCGAGGGGCGTTCCTCGTTCCACTGTGTGATGAAGAAACTTCTTGACACCACAGCTTGAGGAGGTTGACGACCGTGATGTGATTTTATGTGAAGATACGCCACACAAAGTTTGTCTACATTAAATGCAAGTACAGGGGAAATAAATCTGATTGTAGTTTGTTCAGGATCACTTCAAAGGACAAGTCATGTAAGTTTGGCAGCTATCCCAAATCTGTGTCATCTATCATAAGAATACAGTAAACATACACATGTTTGAACAAGTCTGCTGCATGTACGGTACACCTTGACGCTTCTTCCCACTCAATCACTAAGCATTAGTCTGCATTAGTCATGTGGCACAAAAAATAAAAAAATGAAGTGTTCAAGAAGTGGTTGAGAGGAGCATTAAATGCTCAAAGTATGTGGGCTTTTAGTCAGGGCCAAATTTCTTGTCAGGGCTGCTTAAGTGAATCTCATAATAGTTTGGAGTAATTAAAAGATTAAGTTCCGACTTTCTGTGCTGGTTTTTGTTGCTTGCAGTTTGAGAGAAGAAGTGAGGAACAGGTGCCTTTGGTGCAACTTCCAATGCATATTCCCATGATGAGCAATTGGAGACCTCAAAAAACACACAACAGGACAATGCTTCTCCTGAAACTCTCCGGATTGCGTGGTTACCGAATTTGTCAGCTCGGAAATGTACAGACAACGAAGTGGAAAATTGGTGTCAAGCACATTTTTTGCGCTCTTGATGTGGATAGGCAAGCCTTCGTATGTTTCCCTTTTTGAGTCACCGCTGAAATTTAAGACAAGACCGGGTACAGCGCTGTATTGCATCCACATGTTAACACTGTACAGCGTTTGTTGGGATCAAAGAGGCATCGGCGCGTTGCATTTGGTTTGGAAAGTGTCGTATAAATAAAACATGTCATAATATGTTAATTTTAAAGAATGGTGTTACACCCAAGAATGAACTTGTGTTTAACCCACATGCATTGTGCAGTCTGTGGAGTTATTTCAGCTGTCATGGGAAGGGGGAAAAAGAAAAAAAAACTTTGGAAAAGTCTGCTTCTACGCTGTCAAGGAAAAGGAAGTCACGCACCAGATAGAGCCATCGCTCAGTGGCAGACACTTATGAAAGCTCTCGTGCTGAAAACATATTGTTTTTTCTTCAGTCTGTGGCCACCGCTAATGTTACTGACAGCTGTCTTTGTGTTACAGAGTGAACAAGACTGGCGCCAGTAGGAAATGTGAGGGACTCTTGAAATTTGGGGGGGAGAAAAAAAAGCATTTCCTGTGGTTTGGGGGAAGAAGTGCATTCAAAAATACACACTCACACACAAGTATTAATAGTATTATGATTTGGAATCATTTCTTAAAATATGTTTTCAATTTATGCCTTATTCAGTGAGTGGAAAAGCACATGAATAACAAAAAAAAAGCCCTCTTGTCGGATGTGCACCCCGCCCTCTACCTGTGATATCAGTGTTGTATCAAGCTGGAGGTAATTTTCAAGGAATTAACCCTCCAACAGAAACATCCTATGAGCAGCATGTATAACCCAAAGCTTCTTCTTTTTTTTCCTCCCTCTGTGTCTCAGATTTCTCCCAGTAAGAATGATGTTTAATGAGGGTGGTGGCTGATTTCCCAACATGCAGTTGCTGCCAAACTAAATAACTGGAGAGCGTATTAGTCCCTCTGTTCTGATGCACTGACAGTGATAACCTGCTATGTCCGACCGACTCCTACTGCACTCCATCATGCCAATATCTGATCATATGAGCAAAAACATGTTCTCACATCAACCTCGCAATATGTCTTCTGCCTTTTAGGTCCTCTTCATACAGTTCTAGTCATTTCTAAGGAGCGATTTTGAAAGAAAATTGCGCAGCAGATGCATGGGTCACTTCAGGGAACTGAGCAAAGCAGCATGGGTCAGGGGCCAGGTACTGCAGGCTTCAGAGGAAAGGTGATTATGACAGATCAGGCTGATAAAATCCATCATCTTCTCACTTTTTTTCCTCTCCATTCCATCATGGAAATGTAAAATTCTCCTTCTACATACACACGTGCAGCCCTTTATCTCTATTATTTCAAACTTCCCATCCCCACATCATAAGAAAAAAAAAATCACAAGAAAGTCATACCTGAGCAAATCTTTAGCAATGCCAGTAGACAGTAAATTCCTGTAAACCAGGCAGGCATCTCTAAGAGCAGCTGGTGTTAATCCAGTTAGAATGTGATCTTTTGTCTATTTCATTTAAATGACAACTTCTGCAGCGCAGAGCCGACGCACAGGGTGGATCACAGGGTGGAGAAGAGTTCCTCAACTCCGCAGCGGTACGGATGATAGTGTTCAGAAGTGCTCCTCGGAGAGTGAATTTCTGCGTGAATCAAAGTTGGGATCAGTCGGAGGCATCGTTGCGGGTCACTCGACAAGTAATCCACTCAGCACCGCTCGGCTTTTCTCCACTCCCCCTGCCCAACTCCGCACTTCCAAACGCTGAGAACTTGGCGGAATTCATCGGTGATCAGATTGTCCGTTAGTTCCACTTCAGGAGAAAAAAAAAAGATTTCCTGCGGCTGGATCTGAGATAAAGGAGCTCGAAAGCGTCCGGTCGCAGTCACTTTAACGGTTTAAGTGTGGAAGTGTTGAGCCCGGTTTGGTGGGACTGGCGCTGGTTGGATGAGGCGCCGTGCGTCTCTGCGCACAGAGCTGGCTCGGTTTTTCCTCCCCAGTCAGAGGCTGTACTGTTGTGCAGAGGAGATTCCTGCGAGTCAGGCACCATTTAACCGCATAAGGAGCGAGAGGCTCCACTAGGCTTTGCATCAAGTTCGTCCCATGTAAAAATGAGGCTAATAAATGTTAGAAAAAAACCTCAAATATCCACTAGATTAAACACAGCAGAGCCACAGCATCAAGTCCCTCTATTGTAAGTCACTTCTAGTTTAATGAATGGCTGCAGCAGACTGTGAATTAAACACCAATTTAAAGCTTTGTTTTAAGTGTCCAGTATTACCACATGTTGTAAAGGAAGCTTCAATGACATGCAGATTCCACAAGTAAAATGTATTTAATATTTTAAAGTGTGTCTACGGTTAAAAGGGAGCATAATATGACCTTGATGAATGATTTATAGGCTGCTATTTGTATCCTTCTATCAAGAGGGATGTGCTCTGTGCTCTTACTGTAACCAAAAGGGACAAGCTGAGGACGCACACACACACAAAAGGAGTGTTCTTAAGGAGTGAAAAGTGCCTCCATCTACACCGGACTGCTGCAGCAGCAGCATTGTGTTTCTTCAGCCAAAGACAGAAATCGATCAGGATTTCACCCCTCTGACCTCCCAACACACCACTGGGAAATTAAATGATCTTCTAAAGTGCATTGGAAACGTAATGTCAAATATACGCCGTCTTAATATCATTTTAAAGGTATGATCGCATGATGTTCTTGCTTAAATTAATTTAGCCTGATAAAGATGAATCCCATGTGCTTAATAGTTGTAAATCTGTAACCCAGTGAACCTCAGGAATGTCTTTGTTGTCTGAGCAGGTTAGTACACCATCTGCTGGCTGCAGAGCTGCAGCACAGCCTGCTGGGAAGGATTCATCATCATTCCCCCACGGCTTCATTAACATAACCAAACATTTTTTTTTTTTTGGTGGGTTTTCAGATTTGTTTTTGAATCGCATTATTGATTTTTAATGCTTAAGTTCTGCTTGCCTTCTAATTCCATCCACTTCACACTGAGATCTCCGGCAGATGAAGCAGGCAAACTACATGACACTATGCAAATACACCAAGTTGGGAATATGCTTAACTTCTACCCAAAAAAAATAAAAAAAATACATTTGCAAATCTCTCCACATATCTGACTGAAATTAGCAAGAGAAGATGAAGACGGTAATTATGCATTTAGACGTTCAACCACCACAGAAGAAGTCGTGATGCTTCTGGTCTTTAAAGTCGCATTTAGACTGAGCAGAGTTTACTTTCTCCGCCCTCCCTGCCCTCTCGCCTCAAATCCTTTAATTGCCCATTGTGGACCGCTGGTGGCTCCGCAGACTGCAGTCGGCTCTTGAAGCCAAGGCATTACAGTTGGTAAACAACCAGTAAAATATGGGAAATTACAGTCTCACCATGAGCCCTTGTCTGCTTTTATATAACACACTCTCTCTCTATTTTCCCCTCCATTCAGGAGCACCTTCCACTCTCCTCTGCCTAATTGCATTTTCTCCTATTTCTCCAGTTTCTATTCCCTATTCATCATGTTTCCGGCGACACAATGGCACTGAAATATTTGTACAGTTGTGCCATATTTTTTTGCTGTTTCCTCTGTTATTCATTTTATAATTCTTTGTTGCACATTACTATTGCGTTTTCCTACCTATTTTCCCAATGGGGTCTCCGTTCCTGTTTTTTTTTTTTTTTCAGGTCTCCAGAGCAAATATTATCCTCACTATATGACTCTCTGGCAGCCCATTTTGGCTCAGCCCGGGTGACAACAGCATTGTATTGTAGAGGACAATATGGTGTTGTACATGTAATAGCTGTATAATTGTCTCATTTCATGGCATTAATATGAATAAGCTGGCTACCACCACAGCAGGGCTAAAGCACAAGCTGCAAAGGGACACGAGGTTCACCAGTGGAACGTTTTGCTTTGTACATGTGTGGCCTAAATAGAACAACAAGTGCAGCGCACACAGCTAAATGCAGACTTTGTGGATATTGTGATGTGTTCCGCCATCCAAACAATCTCCAACACCAATATTTCCAGAAACAGATGGTGAAAAATGGACACAAAGATATGCACGTCTTCACGGCAACACAGCACATAAAATGGCAAGGATTTCAAGGAGAGGGTGCCAAGCACTGGGACCTATTTTTATTTATTTATTTCACTCCAGAGTAGCTTTCCAGTTGGTTTTCAGCCAGAGGAGGAATATCTCCAAAAAGCACAAAGCCAAATCCAAAAAATATTTATGAAAAAATAAATAATTTGGAATCTCCTCAGAGCAACAAACTTGGCCTCAGTTAGTCCTCTATTAGTCACTGTTGACTGTTTTGTCCAGGAAAGATACAAGCAGGTTTGAAAAACCGATACTGAAATAATCTCTCCATACCTGACATCAGGATTTTGGGAAAGCGGATTGTGTAGCCTCTCTGTCTGTGGATAGCTGTCTCTGTAACACATCACCCCAATTAGCTGCTCATTTCACCACCTTTTTCCTCTTTTAGGTTTTTATTTTAATGCTAAATCTCCACTCTCGCCACATCATCTGACAGGACTTTGACTTTCTCATCATGTCTTTGCTTGTTTAGCAGCATCTCTCGCTGCGTATCTCTATAGTTACTCAGGGTCAAACCGAAGCAAAAATAAGAGACAGCCTTCGCTTTCACCTTTCACAACGCAGTCAGAGAAGCTGATGCAATATCCATGCCTTCTGTTTTTCTTGGTTTCCCTCCAAATTGGCAAACTGGCAGCCGCCCGGATGGTTTTATCAGTCGTTAAGACTTGGACATGCTTTCAACTTTGCAGAATCTAACTGTCATCTTTTTTTTTTCTCCCCCCTTCTGAGCCACAAAGATTTAAATGTGAAAGAAGAGGCTTCTTATCTTGAGAGAAGAAACAGACATATTCACAATTCCACTTTCAACCATTAGTGCCACATAAACAACATCACATGGAAACCAGTAGACGCTCCATTTTAGATTCCATAACAGGAAAAACCCATTAAAGATTTTTAAAAAATAATAAAAAATCTTATTCTCAAAGCATCTGATTTTATTGTTTGTGTTAACTTAACTTTGTCCCAGTGTCAGAAGGACTGTGCAGCATATAAGTCAGACTTTTGTCATCTTCCAAAACCATAGAGGGCGTAACATAAAGTGTCAAACAAAGAGAAGAGGGGATTGAACTGTGGCTTTGGACGGAGCAATTTCAGCCTACAGCTGCTGAACTGGCATTAAGTGGTATTAGAGTCTTTGTCAGCAAGAGGAAAATATAGTCCTCTTCCTGGGAAATGGGCTCAACGTTATATCTTTCAAAAGGACAAGTACAGAATCAGCACAACCTGGAGCACCTCTTCACTGGCAGCCGGCTTTGTCGAGGCTTATTTCAGACATTTTTTAAAAAATCGTTTACCAATAAAAATCAAGGCCAAAGCAAACAGCTTCGAAGTTTTTTGGAGAAGAAAAAAGATCCAACAGAATTCAAAAAGCAAAAAAAAAGCACTTTTGATTTAGAGTATGATGATGATGGAACACCAAACATTACATCAACTGCACTTCCACAGGTCACATGAAGCACGTGGAGCATACCTTTGTATCCCAGGCTGCTGTCTTGTTCGGATTCTGGTTCGGATTCGGGCGTCTGGCCGATGATCTCTGTGCTTTCTCTATGTTTGTCTGCATCTGTTTGTACGGGAACAATGGGTTTAAAAATACACAGAATTGCTCGGCTTTCTTATGTGCAATAAGGACACACAATGATATCAGCGTTGTCATCAGTTGTAGCCAAAAAAAGGCTTCGAAATGAAATACTGCAGAAAATGAAACTGACAACGAGGCTAAAAGTTCACAGTTTAGCTTAAAAATGTTGTAAAATAATAATAATGCTGGGATGTTTAAATGTGAGTTGAGTTAGTTTCTTATTTTTCCATTTGAAAAGCATCATATTTTATAAGAGTAGGCATGATAATGTGCATGTATTGATATTAGTAACTGGCCACAGTAAGCTGGAAATATCAATACATGAGAAATGGGCAAAAATCCAACATTTATACAAAACTGACATTTTAACAGATCTAACACAACTATGATTAAGCTCGAATGGGTGTAAAAACAAAGCACTTCAACAAAGTGTAAAAAAAAAATAAAAAAGACGCTTTACTACTTTATATTTAGATGATGACTCATCAAGTTAAAAAAAGAGATTCACTGAACAAGATGTTTCCCCTTGCCACTAGATAAGAACATTTTGCTTTGGAAGCACATTTTGGAACACTTTAAAGCCTAATCAGATTTCATCATGCAGTCACAGAGAGGTGAGCTGTGTGAATACTTTAATGTCTTCTTTAATCACAGGAGGAATGTGGTCTCTTTTGTGTAAGCAGAAACCGCATCTGATGTAACTCGCATCGGAGGATACAAAGTGCTGATGGAGATTTAGGAACTAATGAACCTTGTCGCAAAGTTTACTTAAATAGTTACAATAATGTGGATCATGACCTAAAAAAAAAAGAAAATATTGAATACACACATACACCAACCATAAAGTTTGTGTTGATTTACCCATGAGTCCGAGCATGGCCTGATGGTTGGCTCTAATAAGACATCTAGTCGTGCATATTTTCTCAAACTGTACCACTAGATGGTGCCACTACTTTACCATGTCAAGGCATAGTGTGTGTAACTTTCTGTTGTTCGCATGTTAACCGCAAGATTTAGTTTTTAAAAGGTTTTTATATGTAGAAATGCAAATGCACACATTGTTAAAGGTGCTCTAACAGTGATGAGACGATGACAATATTTACTTTAGTGAAGAAGACAAGGTAATCATTTGACTAAAATGGACTTAAAACA